GTTTGGAGGTTGATAGCCGGAGACTCGCTCTTGATAATGAGGGCCTCAGCTATCGTCAATCTCGATGGGTCAAATATATATCTATATCTGTAGGTGATCTTTAGTAAATTAATTATAACTTATAATTAGTTTTTATAGGTGATCGAGACTCATGTGCAATGATCAGGACAAAAAAATACGATCTTGTTCTTTTTAGCGCATTTTCTCGTTTATGGAAAAAATGCCCTTTTGTGCTCGTCATGTCCGTCCGTCCGTCTGTCTGTCTGTCTGTCCGTGACTTCACGTTTTCGTCGACGAGAAAATGCGCTCTCTGTCACTCACTGCAGTGAGTACTGAGTTACACTTTTTTACAGTTACTAGAATATTGCCAAATTATATATTCATCAAATATTATACACTTTATACGTATATTATTATACACTATCATCAAAATAATCTTTAAATTTGCATGCACTGCGCGGTCATGGTGAGATGAAAAAATATCGTGCACGAGCATTATAAAAATTCACTCATTCTTCCAATGACAATGTTTTAGAAAATTTTAATTTTGTGCTTCAAACATGCGTTACGAACAACAAGCTAGAAAGTCTTAGAAATTGAATGTCTTTCTCTTAGATTTGCTTTCAATGAGATGAGTGAGTTAATTGCGCTGAAGCTAAACTCAATTCATAAGAAGTGAACGCAAGTCGAGCCAATTCTTCATTTGATTTCTCTTCAAAAGATCAAGTTACTCTGTTGCTCGACAAAGGCTGTGTATTTTCCCTTTGTAATTAAATTTATTTTCTTAATTTTTCCCCCACGCTGCCTCTGATCTCAAATTCAAGTGAATTGTCACAAGTCATTTCAATGGATCTGAATGTCGTTGGAAATGTTTGTGAAGTTTTAAGTGCTTCAGAGCTCATGAGATTACTCAGCTATACAATTAGAAGATAAATCAAGCATTGAAAGCGCAAGTGATACAACAGGGCTTTAAAAATTTNTTTCGAAAAGAAATAGTGACAACTCGCTGCAAATAGGGAATGATGACAGACAAAATAACGTGTGAAGGGTTGCTTCATGAATGCTTTTCGTTTCATGATAATTTTTTTTCTTAATTGTACAGCAAAAAATTTAATTTGCAGTTATGAAAACGTTAATTAATTGTGAAGATAATCTGAATTGAATTAATTACGTAGAATAAAATTTCAGGAGTCTTTAAAAATGTAAATTATATCTCGAATGGAACAATCGAGAGTTTAAAATGAAATCTCATCGCTCTTAAATAGGTCAACTGTACCATTAAATAATTGGCAGGATTAAACCCATAAATAAAAATTATCAATTAAAGTGATATCAATTTCATACATAAAAAAATATTTATTATCGGAAATTATCTCACATCTTTAGTACTTATAATTACAAGAAATACTTTTCATAAATAAGATTTAAAACTTGTAAAAGCAGCAACTCGAAACTTGGAGACTTCAAAAACTTCCCACGTATTAATTTTACCTAATATTGCGCTTCAATTTATCTTTGTTAAAATGATTTACCGATACCAAATGATTGCACAGTTCTAACTTCCAATTTTTGACAAAAATTATTCTGTCTTCCTCTGGCACAAATTTGAACATTTTTAGGACTTATATCTCCCCCTTTGAATCCTCTTTACTGCTGCCGGAGAGACTTATTGTTCCCATGAGGCGTATTGCCTCGCACAGCGTCGGGACCATTCAATGAAAGTAACAACAATTTAAACAATATATCGTTCATTTTTGGGCATTATTTAGATGGACGCTTGTGTTAGATGAGTCACTGCTGCCTCTTATGATAATTCAATTAAAGTAACAACAATTTAAACAATATATCGTTCATTTTTGGGCATTATTTAGATGGACGCTTGTGTTATATGTGTCACTGCTGCATCTTATGATAATTCTATGAAATTAACAACAATTTAAACAACATATTGTTCATTTTTGGGCATTATTTAGATGGACGCTTGTGTTATATGTGTCACTGCTGCCTTTTATGATAATTCAATTAAAGTAACAACAATTAAAACAATATATATTTCATGTTTGGGCATTACTTATATATGGACGCTTGTGTTATATGTGTCACGGCTGCCTCTTATGATAATTCAATTAAAGTAACAACAATTTAAACAATATATCGTTTATTTTTGGGCATCACTTAGATGGACGCTTGTGTTATATGTGTCACTGCTGCTTCTTATGATAATTCAATGACAGTTACAACAATTTAAACAATATATATTTTATGTTTGGGCATTATATATACTTAGATATGGACCCTTGTGTTATATATGTCACTGCTGCCTCTTATGATAATTCAATGAAAGTAACAACAATTTAAACAATATATATTTCATGTTTGGGCATTACTTATATATGGACGCTTGTGTTATATATGTTACTGCTGCCTCTTGTGATAATTCAATGACAGTTACAATAATTAAAGAAATATATTGTTCATGTGTCGACGTTACTTATGTTCTACAATGCGCTGAGAGTCACATCTGCTTCTTACAATATTAGCTTAGCTTCATCAGAGTTACATTAATTTAAGATTTAGTCCTTAATTAAGATCCAGTACTTGTCTCTATCGAGAAAATGGTCACAGCTTCTCCCCCAACGGTGCGTATCGAGGGGCCAGGGGAGCGCTACATACAAGAGGGTAGCGTCCTTGCCCTCACATGTCTAGTGACCCACCGCCACCGCAGGGCTCCAGCACACCTACTCTGGTTCCGTGGCACTGAACGGCTTGACTACAACTCACCGAGAGGTGGTGTGTCCGTACAGGTGGGTACATTGTACCAGCATCTTATGTACCTACATCTTATGTACCTACCTCTCATGTACCTATATCTCATGTACCTACATCTCATGTACCTACATCCCATTAAAACCATTATTTTCCATTATTTCATGGCCATTATTTCCATCTCATGTACCAAAATTTAATTTGTAAATAGAAGTATCAAGAGTAACAAATGGCAGCGTGTCTCAAGTTAGTGATAGTTAGTGATACGCATCAATTAATTCTCGGTAGGTTGTTTTTTCTCCAACACTATTATAAGGCATTGATGCAGTGCTGTCAACTATCTTATTTCAAAGTCGTTATGTAATTTTTTAAATTAATGCTCAATTCTTTCAGTTGTGTGCATTTTATAAAGCTTCGCGCGAGTAAAGGCAGGTGACTAAAGTCTTTTTTATCATTCATGTCACTTTGAAATCCGCTTTTTCATTGCATCTCGAGTGTCTAACACTCAGAAAAATTCGTGTGTCGTTGTCTTTTAAAGTTCTAAAGTTTTTACCACTGCACATGTGAGCAGTTTCGCCCAGTTACATTTTTTTCCTGACATTGACCAACTCATTCTTTTCTCTTATTGAGGCATATTGCCCTTTTAAATAAATAACTCAAAATCAGCACCTCTTACTGATTTTTTCTGAATTTCTAGAGTTTTATTTTTTTCGCGCAAGAAAAGCCGAATTAGAACTCATGTGAGAACGGCGTGGACACATTTTTTCATTACACATTTTCATCAATGTGTGATGAAACTAATGAATGTTTGATGAAAATTTTCAATTTTCATCTCCCATTATTTCATCACACATTTGGAGGACACATTTTTTCATCAGTTTTAGTTAATTAGTTCCTAAAACATATTTCTACTATGGTATTTAGAATGCATAATAATATCATTTGGTAATGTAATTTAGGGAAGATGTTTGATTTTGTACCTTAAGCCTGAGAAATCCTTAAATTTTCGTCTCACGTACGATGGCAGAGGCCTTCAATAATAAGTTGTTCCGTTATACTGATATAGTCAGTGGTTAGCTCGTAATAAGCAAACCGTGTATCAAAGATAGGATGAAAAGTTCAAGAGAAAATGTGACAAGCTGAAATATCATCAAAATTATCGTGAAAACTGATTCTAGGGGCAAAATTTTCAATACTAAACTCAAATACGTTGAAATCTTATTTTGTGACGAAATCCACATAAATTACGAAAGGTTTAAACCGTTCGTGTTTAGAGGTTTCAACACTAGCAATTCAAAATATATTTAATTGTTTTGAATTTTGTATACCTATTTATGCTCTTTCTACTTTAACATTGAATTTCACGTTTTACTAATATTTCATTTTATCGCGATTTTTTCGTATTTTCCTGACTGCTTCCATCATCTGATGGACGTACGTATTTTCTTCTAGTCTTTATTACGGTCCATGAAGACAAAATCTTATATTTTTCTTACACAAACACGTACCCATAATTTCCAGCCTTTAGTTTTCAATCTTTCGCGACTATGAAGTCTTCAAAATTATGTCTGCCTGACAACGTGCGCAAATCGCAGAGGGAGGAGAGGCCTTTGTAAACCTGTGCACTCTGCAGTTCCTAATTTTCTACATGAGTGCCCGCGCACACCAGCACTCGTGTTGCGTCTTCCTTATGTTGCGTTGTCGTCCATCGAGCAGACTGAGAAGATGGCCTCGAGAACCCTAAGTCGTCTTATGATATCCGCGGTGAAGACGAAACTCGACAGCGGTGAATACTCATGCAGCCCCACGGATTTACCTACAGCTGTTGTCACGGTCCACGTGCAGAGAGGTGAGTAAATATAGTGAAATTCATGGGTTGATAATGTGTTCGTAACTCACATTTGAGAGCTTTAACGGCAATTTGCTGTAACCCGAAATTAGATTTGACAAGAGAGGATAGTATCACGAGGGGAGAAGCTCAATTTGAAGTGAGGTAGAGGCCTTTAAAAACAGTATCCTACTGAGATGCCACTATCCTGCTGAGATCCTGCTGAGTTTTTATTGCTATAAATGTTGTTGTAAATTAACTTTAAGTACAGAATAACATTCTGTAAATTTGCCGCAGGCATATCGCTGTTCATGGAACGAGACGCACGGACAATTAACATTAAATAATTTCATTCTCATAAAATTTGATTAATTTTTCAAGTTCATCGCAATTCCCCAACATTTTCCTCTTCTGTTGTTTTTTCCTGTGTAATGGATCATCCATTTAGCAGATCTATTACCATGAGAGTTGCAGATAATTTTTGTATATCCTGCACCTAAACGCATCATATAAATATTGTATGCAAGCTTACCGAAATAAATAATCGAGCTCGAGGCTTCTTTAGATCTTTTAAGGGGCTTTGGAAAGCATTAATAAGCGTCCGAAATTTCTCCCTCGCCATTAAAACGACTTTGTGTATGAAGCTCATCCGATATTCCTCCATCAAATCCTCTCACGCGTTTAAAAATCCCGAGAAATCCTCAAATTTTCGTCTCACGTGCGATGGCAGAGCAATCGGGGCCAAATGCTTCTCATTTATATTCAAATGTCGCTCTGCTCTGGCATTTCATTTGAAATTTGTTGCTGAAGCTAAAGCAAGAAATTTTCGTATTTTTACTAAGCTTTGTGGAGTATCTGTTCCCTTAAACACGTGAAGATACTGTCGTCCTACAACAATATTGTTGTTCCAATTTGTTCCATAGATTGAATAATTCTAAGCCTGCATGCGTCGAAAAACTTAGAATTCTTCGAGCATACTTATTATTATCAAGACACGGTCACCAACCGAAATTTTGTTTTTAGCTTTGAAGTTCTCATGGCAAAATTGGCCTTATATTTTGTTGTTTTGATGCATATAATAATAAACTAATGGAATGTTCTCGAGTCGCAGTAAAAGAATGATCATGCCAATCGCATTCAGGGGAAGCAATCTAGCAGCCGATTGAGCGAGTTCCACGGAAACATTTTGCAAACATATGTAGTTAATATGTTGTCATGTATTCATATTTTCAGAAATATATATTTATACATATGGTTTTGATGTATACATACTGTATAGAATTTTCCAAGTCGCATCTTCTGGTATTTACGCATTGTAGCTGCAGTTGCAGATGTGCATTATTTTGGTGGCTGAACGAGTTCTGTCAGAAGCAGCTATGGCCCTCGCACAGTCCTGTGCCTCGAAGCTGAAAATAAAATTTCACGCACAAAGCAAGCTTCACTTTCCTTGCAGAAGTTAGTTTCAAGTACCAACAGATGGGGTTCATAATTTGTGAAACAAATTGTTACCCAAGAAGGCAGGTTTTTCGTTACAACTTTGTAGTAGTGTCACTTGAAAGACAAACGATCTATTTTAAACAAGCTCTTGAATACGCGATTCCATATGTTCTATAAATACTGATTCAATTTTTTCAATTTTGAAAAGTATGAAAGGATGAAATTGATTCAAATTTTCAATCCAATTATAACATATGACGAATCACTTCCTAGTTTATAAATGAAGAGGAATTTATATACATGAAATAGGAAGAAATTACTTTCATTAAGTCACAGTGATGCCACCTTACACACTTCTCATATTTCTATTTTGCAGGCTTACCTTCTTCTTGCACAACATATTTCTCTTGTGGAGGCTAATTTATTTCAACTAGAACACATTCCTCTCGTACAGACTAACTAACTTCTTTCACGCAAAACTTATTTCTCTCGCACAAACCAGCTTCTTTCACGCACAACTCATTCCTCTCGCGCAAACCAACTACTTTCGTACACAACTTATTTCTCTATCGCACAGACAAACTTTCACACACAACTTATTTTTCTCTCGCACAAACCAACTAATTTCGTACATAACTCATTTCTCTCTCTAACAAACCAACTTCTTTCGCAAACAATTTATATTCCTCTTGCACAGACCAACTAATTTCCCACACACAACTTATTTCACTCTCTCACAGACCAAGTTCTTTCGCACACAACTTATTTCTCTCTCACACAGACCAACTTCTTTCACGCACAACTTATTTCTCTCGCACAGACCAACTTTCACGCACAACTTATTCCTCTCGCACAGACAAACTTCTTTCACACACAACTTATTTCTCTCTTCTTTCACGCAAAACTTATTTCTCTCGCACAGACCAACTTCTTTCACACACAACTTATTTCTCTCTTCTTTCACACAAAACTTATTTCTCTCGCAAAGACCAACTTCTTTCACACACAACTTATTTCTCTCTTCTTTCACGCACAACTTATTCCTCTCGCACAGACCAACTTCTTTCACGCACAACTTATTCCTCTCGCACAGACAACTTCTTTCACACACAACTTATTTCTCTCTTCTTTCACACACAACTTATTTCTCTCGCACAAACCAAGTTCTTTCACGCACAACTTATTTTTCCCTCGCATAAACCAACTTCTTTCGCAGACAACTTATTTTTCCCTCGCATAAACCAACTTCTTTCGCAGACAACTTATTTCTCTCTCTCACAGACCAAGTTCTTTCGCAGACAACTTATTTCTCTCAGAATACTCGCACAGACCAACTTTCACGCACAACTTATTGACAACTTATTTCTCTCAGAATACTCGCACAGACCAACTTTCACGCACAACTTATTTCCGTGTTGCAGGGCAACATCACGCGGCCGTTCATCAAAGTGTCTACGACGGAAGCCCCTTTGTAAGCTCATCGTTATTGGTCGTCTTGCTTGCAGCCTCGCTGCCCGTTGCTCTGCTGCTGCGGGACCGACATTTTTGGCTCGGCCAGCGTCCTTGGTCGTCCAACGGCTGCGGCTGAAGAACTAAATTATATTATTTAAGTCTATGTCGTAATGTATGTATTTTAATTGGCGTTTCCTACATCAGTTAACTTCAAATTGGACTGCGTGTAGAATGGAAATGGCAAACGGGTTGTGAAATTGTGGCCAATTTCACATGTGGGATGATTTCTACCTCATGTGTTCTTCATGAGTTAAGTGAATGATTATATATCGATGTTGAGAATAGAAGCTAATGTCAATCTATGAACTAGGAAAGAATAATCATATGTAAATTTGTAGACAATAAAAATAAAACCCATTAATTCATTATTCCCGCGTTAAAAGATTTTTTCGCTTCATTCTCATTTTCATATTTCGTATATTTTATTGGTTAATTGCTTCTTTTATCTACCCGTAACTATGTCTCAAATATACTCCCGTGTTGGACAGGCATTGCGATTTATTTCGTATACTCTTATTGAAGATATATTTTCTGTCACCGAATGGGCTGCTGAAACCCAATTTTCTGAGAAACTTTGATCTTACATTGAGTTTAACGGTTATTTCTTGTTGTTTAAGTTCTCATTTGAACTTTTAATTAAATTAATTTTTATTATCAGAGTTCATACTTAAGTTAGCCTAAATGGTTATTGATTTCGTTCTTTTACTTCCTCCAGCGATTTGATCAACGTGGCTAAGGTTGTAACTACTCATTTATATCCCTACAAAGTAATCAGATGGAATTTCCATTTTAAATGGTTATTGATTTCGTTCTTTTGCTTCCTCCAGCAATTTAATCAACGTGGCTAATGTTATAACATTTATATCCCACAACACAATCAGATGGAATTTCCATTTATTCGTGGTGAGTACAATAATTTACAGCTTATATTAAAGGAGTAAGCAATAATAATTACAATAAATATCATTCATGAACTGAAGAGCAGAGGCTATCGTGGACTCAATTGAAATATTATTCTCTTAGGCGTAGAAAATAATTCGTAGTCCTGTAATAAATAATCCTCATATTGAACCATTTTTGACAAAATCATTTTTTTTCGCGGAGCTGAAGTTAAAATTATGCATGGGATAATCATAATTTATTTCTGCACTTCACAATATGAATTCAACTCATATTGTAAAGTTTTAAGCTCGCGATTGAATTATTTTAGATGGTAAAAGAGTATAATTTACTGGTCATTTTTTTCACTATTTATTCATTTGGCTAATTCATCTAAGTTTAACCACTCCTCCTCAATTCCTCCAGTATATTCACAAAAAAATACTAGCGTAAATTTGCTCATGTAACTTCCTGAATAATCTAATGAATTTATACGAAAAGTATCCTTCTCATATTTCTATTTAGCATACGTCATTGTACATGTAGACACGTACATACAGAGGAAAATTGTTCGATGTTGAAGAACTTGGTATTTTAAAGATTATATTAGAGTCTATTTTGACCCTTGAACTTATAGCATTAATATTGCTTGCAAAATTATAGGCCGACATTCGATAGTCCTAACGCATTCTATTAGAAGATAATCAAATTTCACACAAACTTTTTTAATTATATTTGTTAGATATTCGGCCGTTTGATTAGAACTTTCATTATCACAAGTCTATCCCATTCATGTGGTATGCTATTACATGCGTTAAGCGAACAATACAATTGACTTCCTTTCCTGAATTTCCTTTTCTCAGCCCTCCTAAACATTCAACCTTCTGTTAATCCATAATGTTCACGAATAAACACACATTTTTATGAACACTTTTATCAACTGGTCCTTAGTAATTTAGTTATTCCAGTAAATTAAACTGAAAATGTGGCAATTCACTTGAAATTATGTCAAAATTGTTTTCATTCGCTTCTAATTCACTCCATTCAATGAGGTTCGTGTCTCAAATGTCTTCAATTGCCTGAACCATATGAATTCTTTGTTATTTTCCAAACTTTGTTCCTTCAAATTTTCATCAACATAACCGTGAACGGAAAAAGTGTTTCAGCGATTGAGTACTTGACAATTTTTTCATTATCAGCAAATTGCGAAATTGCGAATATTTTGTTCGACGAAACTACCCCCCTTCTGATAGTCTTATGGTTAGATATTCGATATTATTCAAATTTTTATGGCTGCATTGAAAAAAGTTGAAACTTTTTTTTAGAATTTTACATCCGCTCAATACCAATTATTATTAAAAGAATATAAATTGCCATTTTAATTCCCTTGTTTAAATTCACGTAATTATTATTAAAAGAATGTAAATTGCCGGTTTAATTTCCTTGTTTAAATTGACGTAAAAATCAACCTTACGTATGACCCAGCATGTAGAATTGCGAATTTTTTCTGTTATTTAATGCTAAGCGCACTCGCGTTCTTCCTACTTCTTTCCTATTGTCGCCGGGTAAGTTTTATCTATATCGACGATGATAGATAACTGAACAATGTACAGACATGAATGATATATTTTTAACAATAAAATTAACCATCAATCATGTCGTGACTTATTATCCATGGCTACAATAAAATACTATTTGCGCCAATTTGAGTCTCATTTATCTTGAAAAGTTGAATTTTTTTCCCAATGTCAAGAACTGAAACCGATTTGTTAATGCTAAAAGTGTATTATTCCATTGAATTATTATTTTTGTTGCAAATAGGTTATTTCTTCTTCACACATTGTATAATTCTACACCAGTTAAGTATAGTACTTCTGTCACTGAGTTTATCATCACTAAGCCAGTAATTAATAATTGCTTCTTTTTATCTAGAAATTATTTTTATAAATATCTATAAATTTATCCAATAGATGAATATAGCTTGTATTAATGAATTTATATCACTTGTTTGCTTAAATCGCAAATTAACTAAGAATTTAAAAGCAAAGAAAAGTCCACAAAAATTCATATCTTTATAGAAAACGTTTTCTATAAAGATATACGTTTACTATAAAGATATGTATTTTTGTGGACTTTTCTTTGCTTTAAATTCTTAGATGAATTTAGTTTCCATAGATGTGCAAAAAAATGCTGTTTATTCAACACGCTAAATTAATCATGACGTATTAACGATGTTCACGTATCCAGAATACGAGCAAGTTTACTTATTTGCTGCAACTTCAAGACATTATTTTGGGTCTCTACCCAGTGAAAATTTACAGACGCGGCAGCTTCTGATTTGGGTTACCAGAAGCTGGGGCGACCCTAAATTTTGAGCAAGGAAGCTTGAGAGCTTTGTGCAATACCACAATATCATGCAGAGGAAATTAAGTCTAGCGCAAATTCGTCCATAAAAGCTTCTCAACGAGGAATATGAAGGAACATCAAGACGACGAATGTGAAGGGTTCTGCGAGAAGTCAGGTCAAGGCATCTAAGGTGGCATCCTTAACAAAATTTAGGGTCGCCCCAGCTTCTGGTAACCCAAATCAGAAGCTGCCGCGTCTGTAAATTTTCACTGGGATATAGAGCGACCTGACCACGCGAACATAAGCCTGGGGGGCTACGCTCCAAATGGAAATAGAATTGTGAATGAATTTTATGTAGAAGGCTACCTGAGCTGCTGAAGTCGCAATGAAGGAAATGACAATAGAATTGCCAGTAAACTTTTTACGCGGAATACTACCTGAGCTGCTAAATTCGCAATGCCGGAAATTCCAGCAGAATAGCGTGACAACTTTTTATGCAGAATGGTGCCTGGGAATAATGACGTAATGCAGGAAATTGCTAGATAATAGAGAGTATAATTTTGCATAGAATGATATCTGAACTAGCAAAAAGGCATGTTATATTGAGCTTTCTCGGGCTTCAGCAGGAATTTCTCGCAATTGAATATATTCTTGAAAGGATTTCAGAGCTCTAAGACTGGAAAAAATATAAAGCCAATTTTTTTTAATGCGTGAATTGATGCACAGGAAAGACAGTACCTGAGTAAATACAAAAGTGTAGTACCATTGTTGGGGACTATTCAATAAATAAGCATTCTAACCCCTAACACTTGGCCAATGATCGCAAATAAGAATGATGAATAAAAACTGATTAAGAAATATAATAATAAATGAACGATAAATACAAGAAAACAAATTACAAAAATATAAACCGTGTCTCTTTCTGGCCCTTGCCTATTACTTCCTGATCATGTCCTAACATCGGAGCTCGCTGAAAAGCAAGAATAAATACAAATTAAAGACTTGAATTAACGCAACCTAACAAATGAATATGGCACACATAAATAATAAACAACATAAATAACAATACACAATATCACGAGAAAGGCCACCACTATATCAACACTGAAGATGAACACGATAAACAATGCAAGCACTAACCTCTGTGGTGGATCACATAGCAATGACAAGATACAGGCGGGTATACAAGAGGTCATGTAATAGTTAACTCAAAAACAAAAATGACAAAACACGTAACGTACGTATCGATGAAATTATTATATTTAAAGGCGGTCCCTAACACCATAAGTAAATAAACATGAACTTATTGAGTTTCAGCGTCTTAAAATCATATAGATTTCTAGGGGATTTTTCACAATTCTTCCTGCATTGATATCTTGAATCTCAGCTGAGAAAACGTTCAAATTTTAATGCCTAGGTATAATGAATTTGGGACTTAATTATGTTCAAGGATAACAGACAATATTATTGAGATGTGTTACGCGCCTGCGTTGTCTGTAAAAAGTTCGTTAGATTTGGGTCAAAAAGTCAGAAATGGCAATACCAAGTAACGAAAAATGTATCAATCACGCCATACAAGATGGTAATATAAGCCTCAAAAATTTAAAATTCACAGTTAACTGTCGATTGCTCCAACCAAAACATTCTAAATCCATTCATAAATCAATATTGAGCTTCATTCAAGGTAGCATGGAAGATCACTAGCTGTTATCATGTCCAAGTTCTATATTGAATTTGAAGATTTGTTCTTGCATACAAGTTTCGTCTACCATGCCGGTATCTGTTCACTCGAGTAATGTAATCATAAAAATAGCAACATTGAAGCCTCATTCACATAGACACATTGTTTCTTAATGCGGTTCTTTAATAAAAAATCCTCTTTCATCACGCGCTGCGATTTTTTTCCCTGCACAATTACTATGTTTTTCAATGTAGTAGGAAGTATAATTTTCACGATTCTGTAAATTTCACCTACACGAATGTCGTTTTTAGCACATTTTCTCATTTATGGAAAAAAAGGCGCTATTGTGCTCGCCATGTCCGTCCGTCCGTCTGTCTGTCCGTCTGTGACTACATGTTTTCGTCGACGAGAAAATGCGCTCTCTGTCACTCAGTGTAGAGAGTACTGAGTTACAACTTTTTACAATTACTATAATATGGCCAAATTAAATATTTTTGCCCACTTTAATCAAAATAATCTTTAAATTTGTATGCATTGGGCGGTCGTGGTGAGATGAAAAAATATCGTGCACGAGCATTATAAAAATTTATTTATTCTTCCATGACAATGTTTTATAAAATTTTAATTTTGTGCTTCAAACAAGCGTTACGAACAACAAGCTAGAAATTCTTAGAAATTGAATGTCTTTCTCTTGGATTTGCTTTCAATGAGATGAGTGTGTTAATTGCGCTGAAGCTAAACTCAATTCATAAGAAGTGAACGCAAGTCGAGACAATTCTTCATTTGATTTCTCTTCAAAAGATCAAGTTACTCTGTTGCTCGACAAAGGCTGTGTATTTTCCCTTTGTAATTAAATTTATTTTCTTAATTTTTCCCCCACGCTGCCTCTGATCTCAAATTCAAGTGAATTGTCACAAGTCATTTCAATGGATCTGAATGTCGTTGGAAATGTTTGTGAAGTTTTAAGTGCTCCAGAGCTCATGAGATTACTCAGCTATACAATTAGAAGATAAATCAAGCATTGAAAGCGCAAGTGATACAACAGTGCTTTAAAAATTTGAGCGACGCTAGCGGATAAAAAAAATTATCGCGCATTT